AAAAACTTTCACTCTAGAAACAGCTTCATGTAAGTCAAAGGGTCTATGGGAACGCGGGTCTCATCATGAAAGATGTTAGAAGGTGCCTGCCCGAAGGTCTGGCTTCTCTCAGCTAGGCACAAAAGAGTTAGCATGAAGCATAAGCTGAGACAGATGTTTAAACCTGTGGTGAGGTTTACTCAAGGAATCCACCGGTGTGATGACAAACCCACATATGCATTCAGAAAGATGACAGGCTTGGAGCCCAGCCCATCCTGCCTGCTAAACACAATCAACTGTCATCTCCATCCGTCTGCCCGCCTCCCCACTTGCACTTGCAGGCATTGTTGTTTCTTCTGTGGGTACCTCGCCACTTCCTGCTTCATTTTGATGAATGTAAATACACGTACACACCCTCTGCAGAGGTCATACAGTCCACTCAGGTTTCACTCAGCTCTTCTGCTGGAAGAGAAACAAGAAGTCTGACATGCTCTACTAGCGACATGGTATCAGAGTAGACATGAGGGGAGGTGTGTTTGAACTTGTCTGGCGTGAAGTTTGTCTTTTCTTCAATGAATAATTCGTTGTATGACTTTAGCACACACCCAGATACACATTTACACAAGCACACACACGCATTACACACACTGTCCCTCTAGTGGTTCAGGTGCGAGAGGGATTCCTGGCCCAGGGGTGATGGATTGGTGGCAGGGAAGACGTGATGGCTGGTTGCTAGGTTGAAGAAGTTTGTCTTCTTATAAAAGTGGTAAAAATATCTCAGGTTGGAAAAAAGTGTCAATATTAGTAGAACTCCCTGAATATCTGCTATTACCTCACATTATTCACACTTGTTGGAACTGTAGCAAAGTTCAGTGTGTCACTTTGGTCAAAATGAAATGAAGTCCTAGAGAATACAGTTACTCAAAAGTATCTAATTTTATACATGTTGTCACATTGCAAACTTCAATATTTTCATTATTTTAGCCCGAAAGCAAAAAAAAAAAGTGCGTAACTGTGAAAGGGAAAGAAAATGATACCTGATTTTGAAATTTAAAAAAAAAACTAACCAAAGTTGTGTTCATCTCCTGGAATAAAATCCAGTGCTAATTAGAAGTCCCGTAATTAGTAAAGAGAGTTGATTGATATGTAATTTAATCATAATCTAATTTAATTGGATTTTATTTTGGGGGCTTGTAGTTAAGGGGGCTTAATAAAATTACACTACATATTGAATGAATTGCTAAAACTCCCCTTTTGACAGATAAAATTAATTATTACATGCTTTCTTTGACAGTCAAATTGCAAAGTCTGGAGCAATCAAAATGACACATGTGAGTTACATTTTGTAATAGATTTTATTGCATCACTGTTTGGATGACTTCTTTCATACAACCAGATGTGCTCATGATTACATACAGAGTTGTCTTTCTGCTTCTTCGTGTAAAGATTCAGGCTCTAGGATAAGGTACAAACAGTAGGTTCTGACAGTTTTTAAGTTAATCATTTACAACCACCATAGTAGAAAATGCAACAGCAGGGATGAACTGTTTTCTGTCACACTCCCAGACTATTTTGTGTAAAGTTCAACACATGATTTTGCTGAGGTTCTTGGTAACCCTTACCTCCATACTTAATTTACAGATATTACAGAAATCCCATAAAGTCCAGAATATAAATGCTAGAAGCGAAATGTGAAATCTTCATTCCCTGCATAGCTTAAGGATGTGTGATGACATAGAATGAAACATATCAGAAGTTTGTTAGAGACAAATGTTTCTAAGAGGTGAATAATCATTAGTTTTACTTTAGAAACTGCATTCTTTTCAAATCACAAAAGTCTAAATGACTTGTTCCAGCAAGGTGACAGGAGCAGGACGCTGTGCACAGGTGTGCAAATATGCACAGCCTGGATTTTATGACAGTACAGCAAGAGTTCACTTCATATCAACCTTCCCATCTCTATGTTTTCAACAGTAACAATTTTTTCTAAGTTTCCACTGTGGGTGCCCTCTTTTCCTGACTACATGAGGTGAGAAGGCTAAATCTGTCAAAGCAGAACCGAAGAACTAATTATCTTTAAAATATATACTCTCCTGTATGTGTACAATAAAACATTTGTTCATTTTCCGTTTATTACAGCAACAAAGTCAGATGCATAAAGGAGATGTCTTTTTTTTATTATTACTATGGTGTTGTTTTGCCACTTGTAAGGATTTGCTTGAATCCGGCTAGCAAATTGCGTAAACAGGATGGAGACAAATCCAGGATATTATTTTGACAAAACAGCAGCATTGTAAAAATTTTTCGTCCTCACGAGGGTCCTGGTTGGATGTTTAACTCACTCTCACACTTTTCCACTGTTTGCCTTTGTCTCCGAGTCACTGCTCAGAATTCAGCCTGGAAAACATGAAATGCATCAAACATACTGAGCTGAAGAGGAGAGGAGCAAATGCCACAAAGCCTGAAGAGGAAACATCCAGGAGAGCTGCATTCTGAAGTAACACCACATTAAGGCAGTTATTTTATTCTATTGATTTGGGCTATTAATCAATTAATCAGATGAATTCCACAGATTTTTCATTTAACCACTTAAGTCTTTTTTTAAATATTAGGAATAAAATATGCAAATAATTAAATTATTTAATTCAATTTTTAAATCAGAAAATATACATACTATTTTTAAATGTGCAGTAACAGAGCATTCCCTTAGTGAACTGAACCTGGTGAAACTAAAACTTTTCTGCTTGAAGAGTTTTGACTAAAACATACTTGCAGACAAAGGTAATTTTATCTTAAATGCAAATTTAATATATATGTTCTACAGTTTGTCTTAATTATTGCTAAATATGTTGTTTTTTTTTCATTAGATTGCTTTTTTAGCTTTTGTATTCTCCAGAAAACAATTACTTAATTTCTAAATTAGTTGATGATTATTTCAGTAATTGACAATTCAGACAATTAATCTGATTAGTCATTTCAGTCATATACCATATTACTATCATAATGTTATGCACACTTTTTAAGGCTCCCTAGAGATTTTTTGTACTTTCTCTTAGTATTGCACAATATGACTTTAGGGAGTGTTTAGTAGCATGTCAACTCTGGGGAAGTCTGTGAACTCTTTGCAATGTTTTCCACCTGTGAAATAACTTCCATTTGCCTGGAAATTGCCCTACAAAACTCTTCCCAGATTGATGAACAGCAGCAATTGTTTCTCTTAGTTCCCTGCTGATGGCTTTTAACCCTGCTGATGTTGACACACATCTTTATGTTCCAGACCAGCACAATAGCCAATAACAATACACTCCTACTGAATAGTGGTAGGTCCATTACAGAAAATCACCTTAAAACGCATTGACAGAATGTGAACATGTTAAGTGGCTATAAATACATAAGTCATGTTTGGAGCAAACTGTTACCACAGTAACAATTATGAGTTCATCAAGTACATTTAATTAACAGCATCTGGCCAATAGTTTTCTATTACATGTGATAAAACTCCAATCACATCTATTCTCTTTTCCATTTCACAGCTAGTTTGTATTACTCTTTTAAAACGTTTCATTGGCTCTAGTGGCCTTTATTTGAAACTAGTTTGGCAGGAAACAGGTAATGCGAGAGGGGGAAGACATGCAGCAAATGTAACCATTCCGGGAATCAAACCTGTAACTGTTACGCCCCTATAAAGGGGAATAATGAAAACACGGACACAATGTTACTCTTTTCATATCCAGTGATATAATGGTGCGGAACCGTTACGTCCTCCTACATTCCATCAGACAAAAACAATCGAGACTCGGACTGTCAAAACTTACAATTTAAAAGGTTGAACTTTTCAAGCATTAAAAACAAAAATAGCCGGAAAAAACTTAGGCTGCCTTTTACTGTATTTTACTGTATTTTACTGCCTTTTACTGTATTTTACAAAATAATATCCTGTATTTTACTGTACCGTATCTGTCTGTAGCGCTGAACTTGAAAGACACAAATAATCGATCGCAGATCACTAGATCTTTTCGCAGATCACTAGACCTTTTCGTTGTTTATAATAGTTTTATAACCACTACATAACCACCACCATCAGGACTAAGGCCTTAATAAATGGGTTGTGTTTTGCCCCTGCGCCAACAGCACCCCTACAATACGCTTACTATCCAAAGAGTGAGATGACTTTGATTAATATCTACTATAGGATTTTAAAAAAACATTGTTTTTCTGTTCTTAGGGTAAAAAAAATAAAAAAGCAAAAGACAAAAACAACATAGCAAAAACAGAATGGATATATTTTCTTCTTGACCGAGAAATGAAGTAGTAAAAAGCTAATACTTTCTAACGTAATGACAAGAAAAATATATCTAATCTTACTAAATATTACCCATTTTACTTTACTGTTCAGTCGCTCTTTACTCCATAAAACACTGAAAACAAAACAAATAAAACTGCATTTATTCTTAAGATCAATCATTTTATTACAATTTTAAGCAAATTATTAAAAGTAAGTGTGCTCCAGTAGAACCCAGGTCCATTACAGAAAATCATCTTAAAAAGCATTGACAGAATGTGAACATATTAAGTGGCTGTAAATACATAAGTCATGTTTGGAGCAAAATATGTATCATTCTGACATGTATACTCCACATAGTCATGAATCTTTATCATCATCCTTACTTACCAGACCTTAATACTGTACAAACATCATATTTATTCTTTGACATCCATAAACTTCTTGAATCCTTGTATCATTAAACGTGCAAAAATAAACAGTGCCGCATAAATATCCAAAGGCTGGATCTATTCCAGTGACACCAATGTGCTTAACTGTAGCAGATTTCTTCACTGCTTGGCAGGAAATCTGTCATATATATCACCATCAAAGCGTCTCATGAAAACGGAAAGCCTTTTCACTCGACAAACCACTCTGAGCAAGAAATATTTAAATATATCTGGCGAATACATTTTCACCATTATGAGTTTAGTAAAAGTAGAGGGAAAATTAACAAACATAATGACCGAGGGAAGAGTGTTATGAAAGAATAAAATAAGCTACACTTACACCTACTGGCCACAGACGGATAACACTGATAGCTGCCTTTCATTTGTTTCTCTCCAAATTGTGGTAGGTTACTCACCGTAGTGCTGCCGACTGCTTTACTTTGGGAATCAATGGTAGATAACTAATATTTATTCCTCAATGCAACAATATTATTATAACAGACATATGGTTTATTATATTTTAGGGCTATTATCGTGAGAAAACTTCTACCCTTGTTCGAGAGTACGTGGAAGTTACGTCACTTTTAACTTGACAAGGTTGCGGTGCATTTCTGGATGGTGGTAAATATTTTATTTGCTAACCTTAAAAGATTGTTTCACCTATTAACATCTAGTATTGTCAACGCTCGTGGTTGTATTGTATCAGTTATATTTGAACTTACCTGTGCAAAAATATATTCTCGAAATAATATATGAACCTAACGTTTCTAATTTTAGTTTTCCTTTCAGCATTTTCATGATGGAGCTTAGAATAGCACCCTAACTACACAATTAAAGCAAAAACATTTACTGAAATCACCTGTTTTTCTTCCTACCTCTACAGTAGCCTGAGTGGGTGTCGTGAAAGCTGTAATGTACGAGCTCGGAGTGGAAACGTGAATGCAACAAAAGTCCGGTCTTCAGAGTTGTGACAGCTACCATCATGGAGGAAAAACAAAGCAACGCCAACTTCCCACCAGGTACAGCTGAATGCCTTTACTGTTTTCATGAACATAGTGTTAAAATAAGGAAGTAAACTGTGTTTCACCAAGTACCGTTAGCTTATTTAATTATTAAGGAAAGACAAGATAAGACAGCAGTCTCAGCTAATGCTGTTTTACCTTCGCTAAAATTTACAAGTTTTAAAACCGGAAAATAGATAACATTGAAAATGTTATCTATTGAAGATGAATATGTGTATCGCTTTTTAGCAGCTTGAGTCTGTTGAATTCAGGTCAGCTCATCAGAAAACAGATGAAGTACAAAGTTAGACTGTACTCTAGTTATTGCTTTATGAGAACAAAACAATATAAAATAGGCTGCATTCATAACTCAGGCAGCTCAGTTCAATTACATTTTTAATACCAACGCTGAGAAGCTAGCCACCAAACTATAAATAATTTTCTATGCAAATAGATAAACCATAAAGAAGTGCTTTAAAGGAAAATTTATAGTTTTTGTTTTTTTTGATATCATCTTTATCTATGGATGGATGGATACCCCCTTTACTCTAACAACCCTGAAGAAATTCAGCAAAGTGAAGTTATCCATGTAGAACATAGTTTGCAATGTAACCTCAGTATAGATACAGCTACTCTTACATCATCCTCCATAGTGGATAGAGTATGTAGGGTGATGTGTGTGTTTTCTCTCATGTCTGCTGTTGCAGTTTTTCATGAGCCAGTTTCTCTTCTCAGACCCTGGAGGAGCAGCAGCAGCAGCAACAACAGATCATGAGCTGGAGAAAATGACCAGTCGCCAGCTGACCGAACAGAGCCGCTTCGCTTTTGCTGCTTTGTGTGCCGTTTCCTTGGGCCAGCTGTTTTCTGCGTCTGAAAACAGGTGGGGAAGAGATGCTATCTGAGCATGACAGTCCTGTTTACTGAAATGAGAGTTTCTTCTTTATCTGTAGTGCGTTTAGGGAGCAGTACCTGCAGGACTTGGTCCAATGGCTGGGTCTGGACCAGTCGGTGATGCCAGTCATGGGGGCTTTCCTGTCTGGACTGGGCTATGAGGGCACAGACACCTTCCTCTCCATTCTACAGGCAGATCTGCTGGTGGCAGCAGGAGCCACGCCCATCATACAGGTGCTTGACTTTCAAATAAGTAAGAATCCTTTGCTATAATGAAAGAATCTCACAGTGGAAAAGCATTTCTGCAATAGTTTCTGCGGTATTTAAAGACTTCTTACAGTTCTGCTCAGTTTATGTGTTGGCAGCAGAAACTTGGCTGTTCGTCCAGCTTTGTTGGTCACAGTTCCAATTATTTAGATGTTTTTTTAATCAATGCTCTTCCTTGGCAGACTTTGGTAATAGATGACTTGATTTTAAAAATACAACAAAAAATACAACAAAAAATGTGTAATAACTGTTCATTGCTTTTATTCTAAAACAAAAAGAAACAGTTATTCCTTCTGCTGCTATAATAATATGACCCAAAAACAATCAATTTATGTAAAAAAAAGGCAAGGTTTCTGAAAATTAGCACAAACACAGCAGCTGATTAATAATGTAATAAAAACATTGTGTTAATCAGCCTCAGCGATGGACACCATGGCTACAAGTAACGGTTATTTTAGTTATCTGATTATTAATTATGTAAAAAATTAGCACATTCTGTAGACCTTTCATTTAAGATTCTTTTATACAACATTAGAAATACATAAAAAATTCAAATAGACAAATAATTTTATTGCTTTTTGAAATAAGAAAAAAAGGATTTATTGCTTAAAATGCAATAACAGTTTTCCTTTAGCGTATAGTTGATCATTTGTAGCAACTGGATGGATCTGCAGCTAAAACAATTCTCCTAACATCAAAAAGCTCAGTGATTTCTGCTTCACTCAGCATCTGTACAGTGCAGGGCTGATTTGATGATTAGCAGACACCAAAGCTGCTAAATAAGAGATTTTATTTCACAGAATTTGAACCGACGGAAGCTAAAACTTCAACTTGAGACATTTTGGGAAGAACACCTTACAGTTCTTTCTCTTAAATAGAAAAAAAATTGTGCAGTTTTGGCTTAATCGGTAATCCTTTTGATTCTAAGGAATCCAATTAACAATTTATTAATTAATAAATTAGTCAACAATAATTTCAATACTCGATTAATCTGATGGATCGCTACAGACCTCATAGAGTCTACTTTTAAAAAAAATATCTTTAAACTGGTGAAGGTCTTGTGAAGTTGCACAATTCAGAGACTAAGATCTAGTCCAAATTCAGGGAGCAAAAACAATTTTAATACATCTGCAGACGGAGAGCAAAAAATACACTGCATTAAGCGAAAATCAAAATCTGCTCTAACAAACTCAGAGTTACATAGTTGCTTTATTCACCTCTCTCTCAGAGGCGGAGATTTAATCTTCAAGGACCAAACAAAGGAAAACAGACAGAAGGAACAGTTAAACATTTTACGCTCATTCACTATCATGTCTGCAGGATGCAAAAACTAAACACTCTATCTCCATGTAGGGAAGGGCACGGGAAAAACAGCAAGTTCCCAGACGTCCCGTCTGGAAACCTTCTGCAGACACATCTTCAGTTAGTTCAGTTAGTTCGTACACCCTCTGCAGCTGCACGGAAAAACATCTTGACTGTGATACAATTACATTTATGCAATAAATAAATGAACACTGTATGATGCAAATCAAACATTTTCTCTTTAAAAAAAATCTACTTCACAGTCTCCAGTCTTTTTGCTCTGTTAACAGGTCTGTCATGATGATGAATTTAGCTGGATGATAAACTGTCCCAGAAATTACTGCAATAGGGGAATGCTGTGGTGGCGCAGGGGTTAAGCACAACCCTCATAATGAGATGTTAGTCATTGATGTGGCCGCCACAGGTTTGATTTCTGGCCTGGTAACCCTTGCTGCATGCCTTCCCACTTCTCTCATTGCCCCCTTTCCTGTCTTAGCACTTTCAAATAAAGGCCACTACAACCAAAGAAAAACAAATAAATGACTGCAATAAATTATGTCGTTTTGAGATCATTTTCAACTAATCAAATGGTACAAAACAATCCTAGAACACCCTTTCAAATATCAAAAAACTTTAATTTGTAAAGAATATTTAACACTGGAAGTGGAAAACATTTTAAATATCCAAAATAAATAAACTAAACAACAGAAATAACAAATAAAATGGAGACTACGGAAGCTGCCTGGTTTCCTTTAACTCACGCAACTCGTCTGTCTGATTCCAACCAGAGAGGAGTCATTCCGCCACTGGAGGAAAGAACAAGGACGAAAGCTGAGACTGAACTAAAGGAACAGATTGTAGTTGAGACCAAAACAGCAGACTGAAACATTTAACTTTTGGTAGAAAGAGATAAAAAAGGAAGACAACAAATCACGCAAATGGAAATGATTGAGTTTTTATTTTTTATTATTATTTTATTATGCAATCAATTGCATTGTTTATTGCAAGCAGAGAACAGATGGCGGTTGCATTCATCCCTCCATCTGTTCTTACCAGCTCTGTCTTTCCTCTCCAGGATCTGGTGTCTTTGTCTGTCAAAGATGGTAAGGATCAGATAAAACATCATGTTGACAGTATTGTATTTTATTTTTTTTTAATATCTTTAAACGAATGACTTCTGCCTGTCAGGTCAATATGATGCCAGAGCGAGAGTCCTGATCCGTCATGTGAGCTGTTTGCTGCGAGTGTCTCCTCAGCAGCTGGAAGAGCTTGAGGAGACACTGGGAGAGATGCTGAGGGAGGCAGGAGAGGAGAGCGAGTAAGTTTCACAGAAACATTCCACTCAAAGCTGTTTTCATTTGCAAACACACATCCACACATCATATTTATTTCTGATGGCAGTAAGATAGCACTGAGATAGCATCTCAGGGAGATGTTATCTCGGAGACTACAGGAGCCACCTGGTTTGCTTTAACTCACACAGCTCGTCTGTCTGATTCCAACCAGAGAGGAGTCATGCCGCCGCAGGAGGAGAGAACGAGGACGAAAGCTGAGACGCTACCTACTGATTGGCTTGGCCACCGTGGCGGGAGGGACCATGATCGGTGATTACTTCTGTTCTTCAGAGAAGTAACCAGGCTTACAGGAAAATAAAGCTGATGTTTTGTGAAACTTTTTCATCCAGGCGTGACAGGTGGACTAGCGGCTCCGCTGTTGGCAGCTGGGGCCGGCTCTGTGCTGGGGGCCGGTGGGGCCGCAGCTCTGGGCTCAGCCGCTGGTATTGCTATAATGGCCTCTCTGTTTGGAGCTGCTGGAGCTGGACTGACTGGTAACTGATTGGGCTTGTCTCGCTTTTTCCATCTTCAGCATGATTTATATTAGTTTCTATCCTTATTTCCACGTGTCCTCTCTGCAGGATATAAAATGAATAAGTGTATTGGGGCCATAGAAGAGTTTGAATTTCGACCAATGAGCTCTGGAAAGCATCTGCACCTGACCATAGCTGTGACCGGTTGGCTCTCCAGTGGGAAATACAGTGAGTGAGCCTCCAGTCAAGTTTGATTTTCCGTCAGTCTCCACTTCACATCTTTACAGATTAGAGCCAGACTGCAGTACTGTTGATGCTTACTAACCCCGCTCATATGTTTAAGTTTTTATTTTATAAAAGCCAGACTTTCTTCTGATGTTTTAAAGAAAGCATTTTGTTTTTCAGCAGTTTCTTTGGATTTCTTTATTTGGACCTTTGTGATTCATTTTGAGGTCCAGTTCTTTGATGTGACCGTTTATTGATCAGCTTGATGAAAGTGAGATGTCTATTAAAGCACAACTCTTAAAGCACAACTCTTAATATAGTAACAATTAGTTTAGTTTAGTTAGATTTTTTTTAAAAAGTATTCTGCTGATTATTCAATTAATCAGATAAAAACTGGCACATTCTGCAGGTTTTTTATTTTTTTAATATTAGAAATGGACTAAAAGATAAAAATGAACACATAATTCAGTTCCTTTTGTTAGTTTTTTTTGTACAGAATTTAAACAAAGTGAAGCTAAACTATACCGTTTGAGGAGTTTTTGGTGGAACATATTTACAGACAGGTTTTTCTTTTAATTTGAAATGTATACTTTTGTAAGGTTCTGGCTTAATTTCTGCTGATGAAGTTCTTTCAGCACTTGGCCTTTTTTGAAGCTGTATGCTCCAGTTAATGATTAATTAATTATTAAATTACGTGACAATTATTTCATAAATGAATTCATCATAATTAGTCTGATTAATCGTTTCACTCCTGGTATTTGCTCAGTACAAAATATAATAAAAACTGACTGAGTAACTTAAAAATGTTAAATACTGTTGATTATCCTCACCAGATATTCAGTAACATTGATCCATCTTTCATATTTAAACTTTAATACAGTAGGACAACAAATAATTACAGGAAGTGAACAGAAACACATGGACTTTCATGTTTTTTTTATTGATTCATTTTACCTTGATCTTAAAAGCTCATTGTTGTCGATTACATTGTTCTAGAAAGTTCCAAGAAGAAAGATTTTGCATTAATAATAGAGGCATTAAATGCACAAAATGTTTGTGAACTGCATCAACAGCTATTATTTATGTGTAACTAAGCAGAAAACACTGAATAAATTCCTCTCTTACATAAAAGCAAGCAGCTCTTACACTACAAAGCACTCAGTCACAAGCTAATTGTCCTTTCTCACACAATGGCTTCAAAAACACTCAGCACTGAAGAGCCACTCAGACATTCCCTTAAGCCAACCTGAACCTGCTGCGTTCAGGTTCGTTCCAGGCCCCGTGGTCCAGCCTTGGGGAGTGTGGCGAGCAATACTGCCTGGTGTGGGAGTCACGCTTCCTCCGGGACCTGGGCTCCGCCATGACCTCTCTACTGGATGGGTTGGTCAGCATGGTGGCTCAGGAAGCCCTGAAGTACACCGTGCTCTCAGGTATTGCCAGATCTCCAGTCAGTTCAGAAGAAAACCTGTTCCTGATTTGGTCCTAGATCCATTTGAACATATTTGTGACTGTCTCTTCGTCAAGGCATTATGACGGCTCTGACGTTGCCTGCATCTTTGCTAGCGGCGGCCAGCGTCATCGACAACCCCTGGTGTGTTTCTCTGAACCGCTCGGCTGAGGTGGGCAAACATCTGGCTCAGGTGCTGAGGAGCAGGCAGCAGGTAGGGCCGTCATCCTCTCAGGGCTCAGTCTAAGCTGTTGCACACCTGTGATATAATTGTTTTAGTTGGCAAATTTAACATTGCTGTTTCTGTCCTTAGATTTAAAAAATGCTTAAGTGCTGAAAAAGCGATTAAATAAAATTATTCAATTTGTTTCTCGAAACCTGATTGTTGTTAAATTACTGCCTCTATCTTCCATTGAGTTTGTCATTTATTAGATAAAAATACTTAGATAAAAATACTCATGAATTGTTCATATAAAATAATTACTTTGAGAATGAAACTGTCTTTTCTGGCTGTATTTAAAGGGGAAGCGGCCCGTCAGCCTCATAGGTTTCAGTCTTGGAGCCCGAGTCATCTACTACTGTCTGCAGGAGCTTGCTAATGATGAAGGTACCGTATAAGGATATGTCATTTGATCAACTGCAGTGCTACTGTTTAAAGTGGAAGCACAGGTAAAAGCAGAGCATTTCTACAATTCTCAGGTAGTGAAGGAGTGGTAGAGGATGTGGTCCTCCTCGGGGCTCCTGTTGACGGCTCTGAGAAGTCCTGGGAGAGATTGGTCAGGGTGGTGGCAGGAAGAATAGTCAACGGCTACTGCAGGTAAACTCATGATGTCTAATGATTAGGAACCTCTTATACACACAGAAAATGTGCAGTGCCATATAATATCAAACTACAAGCACCAAAACTCACCTAAATACACTGAAATCTGACTACATTCACTGTTATTTGGACCAAGAAGCATCAAACCTGATGTTTTTTCATGATTTTAATATTTTATTGTTTAAACTTAAATGATGAAACTGAACATTTATCCTCAGACAATAACCTAACACGCACACAAAATGAAGAAAATAAAAATAAAAGGATGTGAAAACCTCACTCGAATGTAAATAGTGCTTTTCCTCAGTTTTTGCGTCAAAGCACATGAAATGCTTCTTGCGGGGTAAAGTTAATTCTCTCTAACAAAGATTAACTGCAAACAAGTTTGATTATGTTTAAAGTGAGCATGTGATCACAGGTGTATTAGTATCTGCCCAAAGGTGAGCCGCATAATTGTGGAGCACTTGACTGCTATCTTTTTTAGTTCTGTTTTTTGTCAATGGAAGGTTTCAGAGGGAGTGAGTGATCATATATCGATCTGCTGGGAATTGTTGATGATGGTTTATTATCATTTAGATTAATCTAGACTAATCATCCTGGAGCTCTACGCTAAACTTAAAGAGCATCCGTGCGTTATCAGTGCAAATGCAGTCATTTACTTTGAGAATGCGCCTTTATTGACAGAAAACACCTCTATTCTGTAAATGTCATGTGCACAAATTGTGCACATGACTTCTCTATTTAGGTTAAACATCCACATTCCTCACTCACCGTACAGGACCCTCTGACATGCTGTCTGTCTTTGCTCTGCTTTTCAAACAGGCATTTGCACTTCTGTCCTTAGTTTAAAAAAATGCTTGCGTGCTGAAAAAGCGATTAAATAAAATGATTCAATGTGTTTCTCGAAACCTGATTGTTGTTAAATTATTGAATCCATCTTCCATTGATTTTTTTCATTTATTTTTTAATCTGATGTCTTTTGACATTTGATTCTTCAAATCTTTGGCAGTTCATTTTGGTTTGCTTTTCATAACATATTTCTAATGTTTGGTAAATATAATAAAATATTTGGCAGCTCTGTGATTAATTTATTTTATCTGGAATTTTTTCTTTCAAAATTATTATTTTTATTTTTTGTGAAGTGGCCTCAGGTGCCCTGAAAGCACATTTTAAATAAAAATATATTATTGTTATCATAAGTACTTATAATGCTGCAAGCAAGGGTCATTGCTATGGTTATAGCTTCACGTGGTGGCTGACTTCCGGGTGTTTATACTAATCTACATTTGTATTTATGGGAGGAGTCAGGGCAGACCAGCAGCTGTGCTCAATTTCCCGCAAATTGGGATTTATAGATTTATACATGCGCACGGCTTTATACATCCAAATTTTTTTGTGTGCCACACTTTGCTAAGTCTGTCCGTATGCCAAGTTTTAGTGTGAAAACTGTGCATTCTTTTACACATGAGGCCCAAGATGTCTACTGTTTTTATAGTCACTGTTTGTAGGAGTTTTTTTCTACTAAAAATCTGTGGCAGTGGATCAGTAAATGACTTTCTGAATCCTCCGCCTGTCAGAGGCGACTGGCTCCTGGGGTTCCTGTACCGAAGCTCAGCTGCACAGCTGTCTGTCGCTGGACTGCACCCAATCAACATCCAGGACCGCCGCATAATTAATGTGGATCTCTCATCTGTGGTAAGCCCTCATGCCGGGAGAATAGCTAAAAGGAAAACAGTGCTCAAATTACATAACAGTCTGACATAATTTCTCTTTTATTTAATGAAACATTTTTAGACTACCTGAGAGTTTTATCATTAGATTATTAACTAATCATAACTCACTTCATTTTTAGATTGAAGTGTGTCTTTAGATGAGGCATCTTGCATGTCAGAGAAACAGTGAGAGCAGTTTTAATAAAAAAAAGAGAGACTGTTCATGGAGTTCTAACAAACATTAATCTATTGGTTTGAACCAAACATGACATGATGAGTGTCAAGACTTTAACATTTATATATAAGAAATAAAACTGTACAACTAATAGTTTTGACCTTTTATACACTGAGCACAGAGAATTACATGTTCATCCCCAGATGATTAAATAAGGACAGAACTCAACAATACAGCAGCTTATTCTGTCTTTATGCAATACAACACCCAAAACAGACAATGCAAAACAGGAGATCAAAATTTAAACTCATACTTCATATACGTCACAGGACTGATAAAAATCCATTTTCTTTCTTTACTTTTACACCCACAGACGACACATTTGTACAAACATTGAACAGAAACAGTGTGACAGCAGCTTCATGAAAAAGTTTCACCAAATATTAGTCTGATTGGTTTGAACCCAGCATAAATACCACACATTTAATTAACCTTATAAATAATATAAATAAACTCTATTCTGGGATCAAAAGTAGAAATCATGATATAACAATGACTAAGCTAAACAGGTTAGTTTAGTTTAGTAAACTAACCCAAGGTTAGTTAGGAAACTAATCAGATTGTAAATCTGATTGTAACCGGATGTGGCCGAACCACGCCGGGTGTGGCTGAACCACGCTGAATGTGGCCGAACCACGCCGGGTGTGGCCGAACCACGCCCTGTCCAAACTTTTTGGACCGGGGCAAAACTGGCAAATTTAAATGACTAGTGGGCCACAAAATTTATTAAATTAAAAATACAAAATAGTTTACTGTGATTTTTTTATTTGGTCATCAATTGTTTTCTGAGTTTTTGGTCAAATTTTTACCATTTGTGACTTGCCGCTGGGGGCCGAATAAAATCCTTTTAAGGACCACAAATAACACCTCGCCACACTTTGGCAGAGTATGATAAAAACCTGACTTTTTAAACAGTTTGTGTACGTATCTGGTTTCAGCTGCATATGCATGTCAATAATTTGTGCCAAAGTCAAAACTAAGAAAACATATGCATGATGTCTGCCAGGTGAAAGGCCACTTGGACTACATGCGTCAGATGGACACCATCTTGGTGGCAGTGGGAGTTCCCACCAGAGAAGTAGCAGGAGCTTCATTTGTTCTTCCTCAGTCTGTAAGAGCCGCTCAGAAGACCGTGGACAATCTGGACCGGGCAAAAGAGCAGCATCGAGTGAGCAAGACTCAAAATCCTGCTAAGAAAGACAAAACATTGTCACAAGAGAACGCAGACTGGAGGTACGAGACAGAGGACATGGCCGATGGCTGGGACATTCCTGACATCACAGATCTGCTAGATTCGCTGAATGAGACGGAACCAAACGACGGAGTCTCTGTTTTAAACAATGTTTCCCCTAACGACGCTACATCCTCTAATTTCATTGCTTAGAACAGCAGAGAGGTGACCCCAATGAAATATACTGAAATATTAAAAGTTCAAGGTATGTGAATACTTTTGCAAACCACTATATGTTAGTTTGGTAAAAGTTCAATGCATTGCTCTGTCCAGAGGGTCTGCACCCTCAGGTAAATAATTACTTCCTGGAGGTGTGGCCTCTGTTGAGGTTTTTATTTCTACACAACTGACTTAATGTTCCAGTTGGACGCTAAGAAGCTTACTGGACATTGTTTGCACTATAAACAACTACCCTCCCAAAAGCCAGCTTCTGCAACCGAGGATCGGACTGCCAGGGCCACCTCCCTTGGCCGCCACCCATCTGACTTCGCACCCGACCCCTTTGGCCCCTCTCACAGGCAATGTACCCTTTAAGCTGCGCGCCTGCGCAATCGCGCACTGCTCACATATTCTCAACGCACAAGAAAATCTATGTAGCGCATAAAATAAAGTCCAACGTAAAGTGGACATTGAGCTCAGACATCAGTTTTGACTATGGACCAATAAAAAAAATTTTCCGTACTACTTTGCGATCGAACTCAGTGAGTGACAGGAATCCAGCCAATGATACGGTACGGTTCACTTTCGCTACGCAGCCAATCAGCGAATGCTGATTGGCTGTGTGTACGTGGGTTACGTGCCTTGGTCATATGCGCCGTGCAGGTGAGAATAGTGCGGTAGAGTTAAGAAACGTGAAAGTCATCACCTTATCATGTTTACGTGGGACATCCACTCACCAAGCCAAAGTAAAAAAAAGAAATGCACTTCTTCTAAGATCAAATGGAATCAAATCAAATGAAAGGAATGGTCTGCATTTGATATGAAATGTTGAGTTCAGACTTTTGACTAGGATAAGCAGACATTTGTACTGGCAAAGAAGTATGAGGCCATTCTCCACCCACAGATTATGGAGGCCATTAACAGTCAATATGCTGAATTCAAGTACATAAAGCAAGAAGCAGACTGACCCATCAACCTGGGCTAAGTGTATAACCACTGGAGAAGTGAGAAGACGTGAGAAGGGCAGACGTGAAAAAAACTAATTAAATATTTTACAAGAATTTATACTGCATCACAAGCTACAGAAAACATTTCATTGTGCAAAATGTGAATGTTTTAATATGAACAAACATTTATGTCTGAAAGGTGTAATGTCTCATTTCTCACCCTGGCTGAAGCAGGACTCTTACTTATAGCATGCATCTCATGAACAGCAATGTTTTCTTTTCTTTTTTTTTATTTTAATTGAGCAAATCACTTAAATTAAAAGCAAACGAATGAAAATTGCTGATGTAATTTGATTTTTTTAATAAGCCATGCAACTTTCTATGATCCCAGATTTATGATACTTGTGCGTGGCCACGCCGTGTACACTGATGATGCTCACAGTGGTCCTCAATGTGCCCAGGAAGCTTGTGTGTATGCCCAGACACATGAAAAATTAGAGGGAACATTGCTCACAGGTGATGTGCCCATGGGAGGGGGGACCTATGTCTCCTTTTCGGGATGAGCCTGGCCGGGCTCCATGGGTAAAACCCCGGCCACCAGGCGCTCACCATCGTGCCCCACCTCTAGGCCTGGCTCCAGAATGGGGCCCCAGTGACCCGGGTCCGGGCAAGGGAACACGGAATCCAAAGGTCTTCTTCATCATTGGGGTCTTCAGGCTGCACTTTGTTTTGTCCCTCACCTAGGACCTTTTTGTCTTGGGTGACCCTTCCAGGGGCATAAAGCCACAAACATCATAGCTCCTAGGATCATTGAGGCACTCAAACCCTTCCACCACGATAAGGTGGCAGCCCAAGGAGAAATAGTTGGTCTAACCTCGAGTGTGTGGCTCTGGTTCTGGAACCAGTCTCCTTGAGAGGGGCTAGACGTACTTCCACTCCGGAGTTGCCAGCGGTGAGAGGCGTCGGGCATGAGTGGGCATATTTGTTGCTCCCCATCTCGGCGTCTGTACGGTGGGGTTTACACCGGTGGATGAGCGGTCCCCCGTCCCGCTCCGCCAACGGGTAGGAGGATGGGTTCTGACCGTTGTTTGTGCTTATGGGCCGAACAACAGTTCAGATTACCCACACTTCTTGGAGTTCTTAGAGGGGATACTGAAGAGTGCCCCTCCTGGGGACTCCCTCGTTCTGCTGAGGGACTTCAACGCTCATGTGGGCAATGACAGTGACACCTAGAGGGGTGTGGTTGGGAGGAACTCTCCCCCTGATCTGAACTTGAGTGGTGTTTTGTTGTTGAACTTCTGTGCTCATCAAGGATTGTCTATAACGTACACCATGTTTAGGCATAAGGGTGTCCATATGTGCACTTGGCACCAGGACACCCTAGGCTGTACTTCGATGATCGATTTTGTCATCATTTCATCGGATCTGCGGCCGTATGTCTTGGACACTCGGGTGAAGAAAGGTGCGGAGTTGTCCACTGACCACTACGTGGTGGTGAGTTGGCTCCGGTGGAGGGGGAGGATTCCGGTCAGACCTGGCAGGCCCAAATGTGTTGTGGGGGTCTGCTGGGAACGTCTGGCGGGATCCCCTGTGAGAGGGAGCTTTAACTCCCACCTCTGGCAGAGCTTCGAACACATCTCGGGGGAGTTGGGGGACATTGAGTCTGAGTGGACCATGTTTCATGCCTCCATTGTCAAGGCGGGTCACCAGAGCTGTGGCCACAAGGTTGTCTGTGCCTGTTGCGGCAGCAACCCTCGAACCCCCAGCATCCCTTCGGTGAGGGATGCCTGTCAGGCTGAAGAAGGAGTCCTATCAGGCCTTTTGGCCTCTGGGACTCTGGAAGCAGCTGATGGGTACCTTTTCCTGTTGTGGGCAACGGGGCCCGGCGAATACCCGTGGTTAAACGGATGGCGGAGTCCGGCGGTAACAGGCGCTTAAATTCCGTGTCAAAAGGTTGAGACCTTTTCCTGTTGTGGGCAACGGGGCCCGGCAAATACCCGTGTTTAAACGGATGGCGGAGTCCGGCGGTAACAGGCGCTTAAATTCCGTGACAAAGGGAAGGGCGAAGAAAGGGAAGGAAAAGGGAGGGAAAGGGGAAGGAAAAAAAATAAATAAATAAATAAAAACCTTTGGTATTTTATTCTATGTTGCATGCCTTTGTGTTTTGCGTTTATGATGTAAAGCACTTTGAAATGCCTTGTAGCTGAAATGTGCTATACAAATAAAATTTGATTGATTGATTGATTGATTGATTGATTGATTGATTGATTGATTGATTGATTGATTGATTGATTGATTGATTGATTGATTGGCGGGTGAAGCGGTATGTGGCTTGGGTGGTTGCTGAGGTGAAAACTCGGGTGTGGGAGGAGTTTGGAGAAGCTAAGGGAAAAGACTTCTGCACAGCTTCAGGGCGATTCTGGTCCACCAACCGGCATCTCAGGAGGTGGAAGCAGTGCAGCACTAACACTGTTTATAGTGGGGATGGTGTGCTGCTGACCTCGACTTGGAGAAAGCGTTCGACCGTGCCCTGTGGGTGGTTCTCTGGGAGTGTGGGGTACCGGGCCCTTTGATACGGGCTGTCAGGTGTCGGAGTCTAGTCTGCATTGCCGCCAAGAAGTCGGGATTGTTTCCGGTGAGGTTGGACTCCGCCAGGCCTGCCCTTTGTCACAGATTCTGTTCATTACTTTCATGGGCAGAATTTCTAGGCGCAGCCGAGGTATTGAGGGGATCCGTTTTAGTAGCCTTAGGATTGTATCTCTGCTTTTTGCGGATGATGTGGTCCTGTTGGATTCATCAGGACGTGGTCTGCAGCTCTTGCTGGAGCGGTTCGCAGCCAAGTGTGAAGCGGCTGGGATGAGGATCAGTGCCTCCAAATCCGAGGCCATAGTCTTGAGCCGGAAAAGGGTAAAGTGCCTTCTCCGGGTCGGGGAGGACGTCCTGCCTTAAGTGGAGGAGTTCAAGTATCTCGGGATCTTGTTCAGGAATGGGGGAAGAATGGAGCGGGAGATCGACAGGTGGATTGCGCAGCGCTGTACCGGTCCATTGTGGTGAAGAGAGAGGTGAGTCAAAAAGCAAAGCTCTCGTTTTACTGGTCGATCTACGTTCCTACCCTGATCTATTGTCATGAGCTTTGGGTCATGACCAAAAGCTCATGACCCAAAGCGCCCCTCGCAGATACAAGTGGCCGAAATGGGTTTTCTTCATAGGGTGGCTGGGCTCTCCCTTAGAGATAGGATGAGAAGCTCAGTCATTCGAGAGGGACTCAAAGTGGAGCCGCTGCTCCTTCACGTCGAGAGGAGCCAGCTGAGGTGTCAGGATGCTTCCTGGACACCTACCTGGTGAGGTGTTCCGGGCACATCCCACTGGGAGGAGGCCCCGGGGAAGACCTAGGGCACGCTGGAGGGACTCTCTCAGCTGGCCTGGGAACACCTTGGGGTTCTCCTGGAAGAAGTGGCTGGGGAGAGGGAAGTCTGAAGCTGCTAACCCCATGACCCGACCCCAGATAAGCGGAAGAAAATGAATGAATGAATTGATGGATGGATGGATGGATGATGGATGGATGGATGGATGGATGGATGGATGGATGGATGGATGGATGGATGGATGGTGTGGGTGGGTGGTGTGGGTGGGTGGGTGGGTGGGTGGGTGGTGGATGGATACCCCCCCCACTGTGAAGAGAAAAGAACTGATCTGAACAAGAATTGTTACCGTATTTTCACAACTATAAGGCGCACATAAAAGTCTTAGATTTTCTTCAAAATGTGCAGCGTGCCCTACAGTGCAGTGCACCCTGTGTGTGGTGTTGTAAGGCAGACTTAGTAGAGAACACCATGAGAATGTTAAAGGGGGAAGTGTGGCCGTTGATTGTATATAACAGAATGGGGATGTGCATTATGCAGAACATTGTTGTTTTAACAACCCTGAAAATGGGAAAGAGACACGCTTATGAAGCACAGTTTAAACTGAAGGCCATCAGCAACGCGGGGGAACATGGTTATTGAGCAGCCGCAAGAGAATTTAAGATTAATGAATCGATGATTCGCAAGTGGAGGAAGCTGGAAAACGAGCTCCGACAGGTCAAGAAGATGCAGCTGAGTTTCCGCAGACATAAGGCGAGGTGGCCCGAATTGGAGGAAAGACTCGAGCAGTGGATCATCGAATGAGTTGGAGAAGCGTTTCAACGATAACCATTCAACTAAAAGCAGTAATGCTAGCAGAAGCAATGAAAATTGAACATTTACAACATTTCCATTTTATGAAACGGTGCCATTTTTCCATCCGGACCAGGACGACGGTAGCGCAGCAACTTCCAGCGGAATATAATGAAAAGCTGGCCATCTTCCACTCCTACTGCAGTGCAAACACATCACCGACAAACACATCCAGCCCAGCCACATCACTAACATGGACCTCCGCTGCCATTGCTGAACCTACAGGCAGTATACAATCTAAATCAGAGCAGCAGATCAACGCCATCATTTTCAAAAATGTGTACAAAACAAAGAGCTGGGAAAGTTGAAATTTTAATAGAGAAAATGTTTAACTAAATGTTAAGCAATGTTTTGCTTCTTCTGTTCTTCCAACAAACACTCTCAGGAAGTTGTGTGCATGTATTAAATCTGATTTTCTCCATTTAGTCAAATATAAAATATTACTGAGAATCAGTACTTACCAATGGCTCGTACTCCCTGTGTAATTCCTCAGTCACTAACTGGTTGTGCTTCCACAGTGATTCAGTCCAGGTTGTCCACCTGATTGGGAAGAAGCAGAGGCAACTCGACCCCAGCGTGTTCGGCGTCCAGCAGGTTGACCCCGTCTGTGGCAGTGGCTGCTGGATGTGCGGGGTTGGAGGCCAGAGGCGAGGTCAGGTTGCTGGCCATGTTGGGCTCCCCTGAGTTGCGCAAAGAAATGGAGAGAGCCGGCGAGGGTCTCCGGGGTGACCGCGATGAACAGCAGGGCAGGAGCTTAGCCAGAGCTCGCTTGAAGTCCCTCATGAACAGTGGGTAGATGATTGGGTTTATGGTGCTGTTACAGTAGCCCAGCCAGGTGATGGCGTCAAACAGTGCAAGTGGGACACACTCACATACTGCCTGGAGGAAGACACAGGATTTTATGGCATTGCAATGTAGCAATAGCATGTTAAGTTGCTTAAAAGAATATGTAGGAGATATGAAAAATTCATACAAAAATGATTAAAAAAAAAACATTTTTCTCATGGAGAAGAAACCATAATTTGTGTTCCAAAATGTTACAAACTGAAGTTGATCATACTAATTTTTTTTTAAAAACTGACAGTTTCTAAACCAAATTTGTCAGAAACAAGAGCACAGCTTATTAGCTCTTAGTTCCATATCATTTAACAAGTGATTACTTGTGATTTTGAAGGTTTAGGTAGAAACAATGAAGAAGGAGACAGCTGTTAGAGGAGAGCTTCCAATACTATCAAGATGAGACAAGGAGGCAGTGGGAATAAGACAGAAGGATGTGTGTGTTTCACACACCACATTGAGTGTGAAAGAAAGGAGAGTGCAGACACAGTCAAGTCTCTGCAGCTCTATGTTACTCAGAGGGAGAGGCAAGAGGACACAGATGGTAAATCAAAATGACAGGATCAGCTTGAAAAACTAAACAAGTGTCATTACTAATTTAGATTAAGCTGCATATTCACATTTATTCTGTCTCAAAGAGCATTTCATGCCACTTCCTTGTTTGTCTAATCAAAATGATTTGTTTCAACAATTTGAAAATTATAAATGGTCCTTTAGTTGGCTGCTATCTTAACTTTAAATAAGTCAGACATACAGAGCTGAAATGCCAATCTATTTCCTTGTTGGCTTGGCAAGGCTTGTGACGCCAAGGCTGGCCAACACAAAAATAGACCAGTATCCAAGTGATTTTTCATTGTCTTTCTAGTGCATTTATTTATCATACTTGTCATGCTTGCAAAATAATTGGTGAGAAGAATCACTGAATCATACGAAGGGTCATTCCAGAAGATGAAAGTGTTGCAAATGTTTGTAGCAAAATCATTAAAGTTCTGCATGTGCATGGGTACTGTGTCAGGTACTGTGTCAGGTACTGTGTCAGGTACTGCTGACACAGTACCTGACCACTGTGTCAGTCAGTGGTCAGGTACTCATACTGACCTGAGCCATGTTTGTGATAAAAAAGGGTAACCAGGCGCTGAAGAAAAGTCCCAGAAGGACTCCTAGTGTGAGGCTGGCCTTCAGTGCCCTCCGACCCTGCTTGTGAGCAAGACGGCGCTCACTGGTCACAGACAGCTAAGGACAGCAAGGAGTGACAGAAAAACGATAAAGAGGTACAAATACAATTCACATCTACTTTTACTGCTGCCATCATGGATGAATAAATAATAAAGATTAGCTTACAAGTCTAGCATGCCATAGAAGTATACACCAGTTAGCTAAAATAACAAAAGTATCAACAACAGAACTGGTACCCATATTTATTGTAGAAAATAATTTATTTGGGAGTCTTTCGTATAATTCTGACTGATTCTAATTATTTCAACTATTCATTTTTATGCTATAGTATTTAAGCTGCACCAATTATACAAGTTGTAATCAACCTTTCTGAGACTTGTTCAAAGTCAGTCTTATTGTTCATAAACATGAATTACAATTTGAATTCTTAGTGAGGTACTCTACAGCAAAAAGAAGTGTTGCAGTTTTTTTTTAAACTCAGAAAAGAACAAATAACGTCTTCAGTACCTCCTTCAAAGCTGGACAAACCAATCGTCCACTTCCACAGGATGGAGCTGTGACACTTAAATAAGAGTCTTTAAAAGCAACACAGTGAGTCTCTGGGTGAAGCAACTGTACACATTTTTCTCTCTAGCTATTTCAAAAAAGGAGAATTATTCAAGAAGTTATTTTTAAATGTTCAAGGTTGCAGTGCAACCAAGCAACTTCTTGTCTTTTCTTTTTTTTTTCCTCTATAAATGTCAAGAACCTCAGTTAGGAAACATTTGCACTACATAACCAGCTCCTATTGTAAGGTCAGGTTGCCTTTTCCTTTAAACTTCAACAAACCTTCATGCAGTATAAACCTTGGCAGAGTTTCAGTTTCTCTGTTCTCTTACCAGTGCATTTTGAGACATGGCAGGTCCTTGATGACTGCAGTCACATCCACCTTCCTGAGCTGACCCGGCAGCAGCACCGGGCGAAGGAGGCCGGGAAGGTTCTCCAAAGGACGGATGAGGGTCAGGAGGGTGACTCAATGCCGCAACTCTCTTTGCTTGTCTCCGTGCTGCCAAAAGGATCCGGCAATAGGTGAAGCAAATGGTGCTGGAGGGCAAAAAGAAGGTAAGCACGGACGCCACCAAGGCAAAGGGCAGGGTCACCCGCAGGCGGCACTGAAAGGACGCACCTCCCATTGGTGACTGCTGGAAGTAGGAGTCTGGGTATTGCGTTTCATGGAAGGAACTGACGTTACCAAGGCTGACTTGAGGAATTAGCGAGTATTCATCCCCATGACCCAAACTGTGCCAGTTCATCTTAATGGGAAGGAAGGAGGCCAGGGCTGCCAGACTCCAAGCGGCAACAACCAGAAGTAGAACCCAGGGTGGGGTCATCCTCTGCTTGTAGCGTAGTGGTGAAATGATGAAGAGATAGCGGTCCAGGCTAATCACACACAAGTTCAGGATGGATGCGCTGCAGCACATGACGTCAAAGCAAAGCCAAACTGGGCAAAAGGCAGGCCACAGCACCCAAGACCCGCACAGCACGTTGAGCATGGCTGGAGGCATGACCACCAATGCCACCATCAGGTCAGAGAAGAACAGAGACACCAGGAAGCAATTGGAGGTGCAGCGCAAAGAGCGGTGGGCAAACACTAAAGAGATGAGCAGGATGTTTCCACAGATGGTCATAAAGATGATGGCAGTCAACATGAAGGCCAACAACCAAGGGCCGCTGCCCGTGACGTTCCAGTCACTGGAAACAAGAGAGCTGCCCTTGGAACTACCCACAGAGGCAGATGGATGAGAGTCGGTCATGGCGGATGCAGTAATCCAGGAATCAGCCTCTTCGGGTCACTCCCTCAGGCACTCCTCAAAGTTCCCAACTGAATCTAATTCCTGGCCAAAGCTCACACCTCAAAGCTTTACCACAGAGATCTTGCTATCAAAATCCACCCAACTCCTCATCTCTATGGGTTAACATCTCCACATTGCAGGAATCCCTCGTAGTGGAGAGGGATCACTCTGCAGAGACTAAACTGAAATCCCCCAAACTGTTTGCCTCATCTCTCCATCCTGGCCATCATGTCCTTCCTTCATCCACAGCTGAGAGCCAGAATAAGCTCTTCAGTAGTTGACAGAGAAACCCTCAGCATGTCACAATGATGACAGGCGCTGGAGGAGGGCACAAAGAGAGATAAGCCTTTACTTTGCACATAAAAGCAGTGCCAGAGACATGACCCACTGAGGATGGAGAGAGAGCCTCATAAACGCACCTCGGAGAAAAAGACTCGGCCAGCTTTTGTAAGTCTTTAACTGAGCAAAAGCTCTTTCTCAATCACAAGTCCTTTTATTCTGGGAAACAGAAAAACAAAAATCTGACATAAAATAGACACAAAAAAGCTGCAACAGTCATTACCAAGCAACGCTGTGTTCAGAAGTGCTCCACAGGTATCATGGTCCTTGTAAAAGCGCCGCATCACTTTGCCTCCGTTAATCCCTGAGGCGACTACTTCATTGTGTTTCCCAGCCACAGCGCATGACTACTGAGAGTGAGCGTGTCCAACATGGAGCTCTTAATGCATAACTATGCACAATCACAGCCCAGATATGCTAATTCTGCATCATAGGAACTGTGTGGGTGGTCTTTCTCCTTGTTTGGTTCTGGAGTTTTTATCTGTTTCAATAAAAATATGCACATTTTTGTAAATCCTTATTAAAATTGATATGCTCTCTTAAGGTTGCTGCAACAGGTTTTTGTTCTGGCTTTCTGGATTTAGTTTCTATATGGAAACATTTTAAAAATACCTGAACAGAATCAGATACTTTTTTTTTTGTTTTGTTTTATTGTTGTTATTTACACCAATAGTAGCCAGTATACCAATAGTATATTCTTCTTAGTGTGCTTTTTGGAGCTAAAAGTGGTTAAAAAGTAATTTTTCAGCTTGAATATATTTTTAGATCTGAAATTTTTTCCAGATACTTTGATTTTAGTTGTTATACTCTGACCTAAAACATTCTGGTTATAAGCTTAGACTCCTTGTTGGGCTGGAAGAGGAATCTCTGCCCTATTCTTTATTATTTTGTTTCCTCAAACATGTTTTCCATGTATTTAGTTCCAATTCTTAATTCTTTCTTCCTGACATGTCTGCTGTGTTCCATGGTTTTCACGCTGATGTTTGTTCACAAATTTTCTCTAACCTTCAGGCTTTCTCAGGTTGAATTATGGGAACGTTAACTCACAAACTGTTTACTGACCTCTAAAAGCAACTGGTGGAACTGGTGTATACAGAAATATCTGAGAGGGATTCCTGCCACATTTTTCAGATTTTTAAAAATTTGTAAAACATTTGAAACACCAATTTTTTTCTACTTTGTGATTGTCTACCATAAAATCCCAACAAAATACACTTGAAATTTGTTACATGGCAAAATGTGTAAAAGGTCACGTTTTCGAAAGGTGTTTTACTTCACTCTCTACAAGTTAAATATTTATTTCTAGATAAATAATTGCCTGTTTTAAATATTTGCTCAATGTTATATATAATGTCCCAATAGTCTGTAACTTATTTCAATGTACATTATTTAAAATGAATGGAGTGTTGTAATCTGAATAGAATATATTTTTACCTTTACAAATCCTGTTACTTAACTTCAAAACTACACAAAAGTGTAGTCTTGATATTTTGGCCACTTTAATTTTGGTGACCTTTTTGATTTTATTTAGCATAATTTTTATGACTGGTGAGCATCTTTGGATACGAACAGTTAGGCTGTGGCTTCACATCCTGTCTTCAGGTTTTTGCAGACCACGGCCTTTTTCTGTGGAGCATTTTTTTTAGCAACATTCTGTGATTCTGCTAATCACAATATATTCATTCACATACACTTTCTACATTAATGTTCTTTTAAGCAAAGCAAGAATCTCCACACGTAAACATTTTCGATAAGGAAATGAAGTGAATTTTGTAACTTGATAATTGAACATTTTGTATTTTAGACATACATTTTTCTATTCCAGTGATGAACTTTTTTTTTCTTGCTTCCTTACAAACTTCCAATAATGCTTACACTTAATTGTTATTGCATATCATTCCAGTAGTTAACACACAAGATAATTCTAGATCCTCAACTGTAATGGCAACTTGAAACTGATTGATCAACACTATTCAGCTGCTGCTGGACTTTGATGGAAGTCAAAAGCCTTCAAAGCCCACTGCCTTATGAGAAAACGGTTTTGAAAGTAAAAACTTAAAAATATATATATATAAAACAGGGAAATTTAACCTCCACCTGTTATTAACCTTGTTTTACTGAACAAAAACACAACCGATCAAAAATTTTACTTGATCTACACCTTCTTTTGAATATACTACTTTAACATTTTCTCAAGTTAAATATAATATCACAGATTAAATGTCAAACCACCCTATAAAGAATCACACCACAAGCAATGTTCCCTCTAATTTTTCATGTGTCTGGGCATACACACAAGCTTCCTGGGCACATTGAGGACCACTGTGAGCATCATCAGTGTACACGGCGTGGCCACGCACAAGTATCATAAATCTGGGATCATAGAAAGTTGCATGGCTTATTAAAAAATCAAATTACATCAGCAATTTTCATTCGTTTGCTTTTAATTTAAGTGATTTGCTCAATTAAAATAAAAAAAAAGAAAAGAAAACATTGCTGTTCATGAGACGCATGCTATAAGTAAGAGTCCTGCTTCAGCCAGGGTGAGAAATGAGACATTACACCTCAGACATAAATGTTTGTTCATATTAAACATTCACATTTTGCACAATGAAATGTTTTCTGTAGCTTGTGATGCAGTACAAATTCTTGTAAAATATTTAATTACAGTTTTTTTCACGTCTGCCCTTCTCACGTCTTCTCACTTCTCCAGTGGTTATACACTTAGCCCAGGTTGATGGGTCAGTCTGCTTCTTGCTTTATGTACTTGAATTCAGCATATTGACTGTTAATGGCCTCCATAATCTGTGGGTGGAGGAGAATGGCCTCATACTTCTTTGCCAGTGTACAAATGTCTGCTTATCCATAGTCAAAAATCTGAACTCAACATTTCAATATCAAATGCAGACCATTCCTTTCATTCGATGTGATTCCATTTGATCTTAGAAGAAGTGCATTTCTGTTTTTTTACTTTGGCTTGGTGAGTGGATGTCCCACGTAGACATGATAAGGTGATGACTTTCACGTTTCCTAACTCTACCGCACTATTCTCACCTGCACGGCGCATATGACCAAGGCACGTAACCCACGTACACACAGCCAATCAGCATTCGCTGATTGGCTGCGTAGCGAAAGTGAACCGTATCGTATCATTGGCTGGATTCCTGTCACTCATTGAGTTCGATCGCAAAGTAGTACGGAAAAAAAAATTTATTGGTCCGTAGTCAAAACTGATGTCTGAGCTCAATATCCACTTTACGTTGGACTTTATTTTATGCGCTACATAGATTTTCTTGTGCACTGAGAATATGGCGCGCAGCTTAGAGGGAACATTGACCACAAGTAATCTTTCTATAATTAGTGATTATTTTTATTAAATTCATACATATAGCACTCATCAGGCAGAAACAAGTCTTACAATCATTATTGGGACGGTTTATCTGGAGAAAGACACAATTTTAAATGTAGCAAAGTGTAAACCATGACGCTCGAAAAGCATAAACATCAATGCAAAAATAACGATATAAAACACATTGATGGTGTTTTTATTAGTGGTTGAAGTCACTGCTTCTGCTGAGAAAAAAAACAGAAAAAAAAGTATACGTATTAAATTCATACAAAATATTGACAAACTGCCACTTTAACATAGAAATAAGACTTTACTTTTTTTTTTAATTGTTACTTTTGTTTCATTGGTGTTGCAAAACTATTTTAACCTAATTCAAACTTCAAAAGAAAAGAATAAATTATAAATCTCCATGAAGTCAAGTTAAGATTTCAGTACAAAGCTTAGTAATTTTTGTTTGTTCTTGCCTTCTTCAAACAACAAAGTAAGACACTAACAAGAAGACTGGTATCAAAACCTAAAGATCTGTGCAGAACCTATTAAAGGCCCAATAAAACCCAAACTAACCTGTTCACTTGTGTGCAGCAGATAATGTGACCTCAGGTCATGCTGACAGTTGGCATACGCCATGCCAAGTCCAGCTCCAGAGAATAATGTAATAGGCCACGTACGTCCTACAAAGGACAAAGATGCACTGACATTGTTGGCAGGGATAAAACAAACACTGCCCTAAATATTGGCGTCTATGTCTGCAGCAGAAGGACATGAGTGCCAGTAGAGGAGCATGATGCTAGTTGTGCTGCCAGATATCCTCAATGGTGTCTGAGCTAAATTAAAGTTTCAAGATAAAGAACAACTTCAAATCCACTGAAACGGCTTACTTTTGAAGAACAGGACAGAAAACACAATTCCTAACCCCAGACCAGTACCTGAAACACAAAATGACGAGGCAAACGTTAGATACAGGGAGGAAATAATTACTAATGCACATTTGCAATATTTACCCTGCATGTCAAGTGTCTGACCTACACAGAATAACGTAATGCAAGGTGTTGTTTTTTTATTGTTAGTAAGAAAGCCTGTCACAATAAGCAATAAATCAGTTTATCGCAACTGGCCATTTCCCATTGGACAGTCATTTATGAGATACTCCCCTTTAACTGAAAAGCCGCCATTTCGAAAAACCCTGCAAACATTTGACATTTGCACTACCTGCCACTTCTGCCTGTAGACTTAACCATTATTGAAGTCAATAGTCAATAATTTTTAACCATTATTGAAGTCAATAATGGTTAAAAATTAACCATTATTAATTTTTAAAATGCGAATCTCAACTGGTGTTGCTTTGATTGTTTTGTTTTATTATTTTGGATCATTTAAATGGTTCCCAGTTCCAGTGTTAAATGTTCTTTAGAAATTAAAGTTGTTTTTTTTTTGTGCTTTGAGTACATATACTTGAATCAATAAATCATTTCAGTTGAAAATGGTCTCAAATTGACAATATCATTTATCCCATTAATTTCTGAGACCATTTATTGAACTGCAAAAACTTAGGACAAGTTTTTGTTTCTAGACTAGAGAAACATGGTTGTGAGCATATCAATATCAATATTGCTTTTATGGCCAGTTACTAATAGTATATATTTTGTTATCCTTTATGAAAGAATGGTAATATGTGGGTATGGATCCTGGAAGAATAAGTGAGTGACATTGTTTTTTAAAAATATATATATATGGTTATAACTTTTATAAATGTTTATGAAGATCTTAAAACCCATTGGTGAAACCCAGAAGATTCCTGACTCCAACTGTGTAAACCTATGGTCTACAATATGACTAACCTATGGCTTGTATGAGCTGATTTAACCTGCCATCTGTTAAATAAATAAGCGATAAATCTCTGACCGCATGAAAGTTGAACAGGCACCAAATGGGATTGAAGTAAATGAGGTTCACGTTCTGTGAGCGCAAGGAAAGGTGGACAACAGTTTGGCGTTGTAGTTTAAAGTCAACTGCTACTTATAATAATCAAATGGCCTGCCTCTGCTCTGGTTTTCTTTCATTTTCTTTCAGTGAGCGTTAAATTAAAAAACGGCGCTAGAATAAATCTGTTTACTTCCGTTAACATTTGACTGCTCATTTAGTTGTCCTTTAACAGCCCTTTGCGGCTAGCTTGTTAGCCTCTCATCCAGTCAATGACAGATGTGAATTACAATAAAAGCTACAGCCTAATGCTTCTGTATCCACCTATATTACAGTAACATTAGTACCTGAAGGCAGAGGAATATTTACCCAGCTTAACGACCCCGTCTGCCAGGCAGCGGTCCAACTTTTTCCCGATCTCCTTCTCAGACATTCTGACTTAGCTCACTCCAGGCTCAAGGTTTCAAACTGCAGCTCTCCGTGCTGCCTTCGTGCTCTGTCGGAAGTTTGACACACTAATGCATTGTGTAAAGAAGTTAACGTAGATCGACGACAAAAATAAATAAATAAATGAGAGCATTTATTGAAATCGTTATCCATTTTACTACACAAAGATTTAATACCTCAACAAAATGTTTTTCGTTAATAAACTTAGCACAGAAGACAGTTCAATTATGGGTCTTGAAGTGAATGTAGCACGTAGCTAGTTTTTGGAAAAACCCTGCCACCTTGCGCCACACAATACATAAAACGCCACAATAAGCCACACATATCATACTGACTGCAATGCCTTCTGAAAGTATTCATATCCCTTACACCAGGGATATTTATAGTTATCAGTAATAATTTACCATGGCAGCTATGGTTAATTGCTATTATGTGATCAGAAGTTCTTAGCTCATAGAGTTTTGAGTTTGATTCCCTTTTGGAGCTTTTCTCTGTGATTCTAACCTGGCCACAAGTGACTGAAATAAACAAAAGCAAACTGATGGATTGTTGCAGTAACACCTGCAGCTGTACAGGTGAAATTTGAAATTTTCCTTTAAATAAAAAAAGAAAAAATAGTTATTGTTTTATTATCTAACCATCTGTTCTATTAGCAAAATTGTGGAAAATAAAATATCTTTTGTGTCAAAAGATATTATACACACACACAGCTGTGTCAGTCTGAGGGGTGAGGTGGGGAACGCCAACGCCTAAGTTTTACTGGTTACTGGCCTGAGCTTCTTACAGTGTGCGCGGTTCTGGCAGGTTGCCGGTGTTATGCCGAGAAATGCATGCCTGCCGAGAATTGCATCCCCTGTCGCGGGAGCGCGCATCGCCTTAAACTCGCATACTGATGAGTAAACGGGCTGAAATCCGACCGAAGAGGAAACTTTTAAAGATATTCGTAACATTATCACGTTTATTAATCATGTAAGCGCTAAAATTGTGGGTTTTATTTCGCAAATTAATTGAAATAAACACTGATTTTTTCACGTTTATTGAGCCATATTTGTCGAACGTTCTTCAGTGTCTGATGAACAAGTTCTCCGCAGCTGCTTTGAAATTCCAAGATTTTTCTTTTAACACCATAATAGCTTAAAGCTTTACAAAACCGAGGCCCAATTACGTAGAACATTTTAAATCACGCTTAGCTGTCTAGTGTATTAATGTAGGGGAGATGCGTTTTAATTTCTGAGCCTGCTAATATTTGCATCCCCTGTCTATTGTCCTGTTCATATGAAACTTATAGTGGTAACTCAGGGAACAAGTGTCATTATGTAGAAAAAATGTAATTTCCAAGTTAGCAGGGGATGCAATTTTTGGCAATATGAATTTTTAGCTTGCCAAAAATTGCATCCCCCCTGAGTTCATCAAATATTTTTGAAATAATATTAATATTAATACCAGTAGTTCATAGAACTACTCTGGTCATGTAGAAAAGGTTATTTCACTCTTAACTCTTTATTTCTCCAAGTTAGCAGGGGATGCAATTTTTGGCAACATGGATTTTCAGCTTGCCAAAAATTGCATCCTCTCTATTTTCATCAAATAGCCTATTTTCAGAATGATATTAAACTAATACCAGTAGTTCAAAGAACTACTCTGGTCATGTAGAAAAACGTATTTCACTCTTAACTCTTTATTTCTCAGAGTCAGCAGGGGATGCAATTTTTGGCAATATGGATTTTTAGGCATAACACCGGTTTATTAGCTTTATTCGTGGTTTCGCGAACTGAACAGCTGACGGGTCACCCACTGGCTGACACCAGCAGATATCGAAAAAATAAAGGTCCGACAGATCGGAGGGTACAAAAAACTATCACTGCACTTGACCTGCGAGAGCACAACCACCTCTCCAATACACAAAAATTAGCACAAACCTAAACCACAAGAGCAGTGGACATTTTCCCCAGACGATGCTAAATAATAAAGACATGGAAGCGAAGCCTCTCCAGGTGGTTCACGGAAAGAGGTTGGTGTTGATTCCCAGGTTCAGGTGGTGTCAGACGTCCAGAGAACGAGAAGGTGAAACAACAATGTTTGCTTTATTTCTACTCTACTTTGGCTAGATTAAATTGTTTAACCCACAGTCTTAGCAGTAGGTATCAGCCGTCAGGTGACCCGTCAGCTCTCTTGTTCGGGAAATATCAAAGCTCATAAACTGACGACCCGCCAGAACTGAACACGGTAAAAAGCTCCGCCTGAATCCAAACGACCGCTCTTAGGTTCAAACTCCTTTCATTTTTACCTTACAGAAAAAGCACCAAGCCGCCAAATAAACAAAAGTAAATTGAACAAAAAGAGACTTAGACAGATGTGCACTACGTATAAGACGTTTTGGCACAAAATATCTTTTTTTCTTCACAATTTTTTTAATAGTAAATAGAGTTGAATAATAAAAATTCCAGAAATTATTCTTTTCTTTCTTTACATAAAAGAAAATGTCAAGGTACGCAGAGTAGGCTACAGCTGCAGGCGCTGCGCGTAGTTCTGAACTTTAACAGCAGGAAAGAGTTTGAGACGTAAAGCAATTTATTTTAAACGTTTTTATCATTTCCTTCTTTTGAACTCTAAATATAAACAAACGTTATTACTTCAATGTAAAAACATTTAATTAAATAATTTTTTGGTGGTGCTCCCTAATGACAATGGCTATTTTTAGAAGTAGCTCCGCGGGCGACTGACAAGGTCCATTCGGGCGATCGGGTGCCCGCGGGCAACTGGTGACCCCTGCCTTAAACTTTTTCTATAATTTTTTCCCCTCATTGCAACAACAAATTAAGACGTAGCCTACTTACTAATGCGTAAATGACTGCGATGTGGAAGGAAAAGTACAGTTTTTTAGCACAAAGATTTGAAAAAGTGTTATTAATTTATTTTCCTTCAAGTTGATACCACTGACACTAATATCACCCTGATATCATCGATACAACGGCAGTGTCATGGTGGGCACATACATGCCTGTTAAACCAATAGGTACAGACTGAAAATCATAGTGATTTTCCATTCACTTCTCAACTATGAGCTACTTTGAGTTTTGTCTATTGTGCATATTCCTTTTAAATTGCAGTGAAGTTTGTGGTATAGTATGTGACAAAATATAAAAAGACATATTTCTTGGCCAATTAAAACAAATGATCCAACAAAATGTAAAGTGCACATTTTATTTGACACACTCCTGTACAACGTTATAAAGTCTAAACTGATTTCTGAGATGACAATTTAGAGTTTTTAACAACAAACATTTAATCACAACAAAAGTTGGCATATTTTAAAATCTTTCACTTTGTACAAAGATGTGTCATGAGCTGGTTTGATACATTTCTTCTGCTTCCAAATCTGGAAACTGACCTTTAACATGAGAATCCACTCTATGTGACAAACATATTACATGTATAAATGCATTATGTGCAGCAGGTGAAACTTTGTGAAAAGTTACTTTCTTGGTAGCGAGCTTACACCAGCTGGCTTTCGTAGCAGGCATTGCTGTTGATTTTCTTATTCATGGGGAAGTGGATGAGAACGTGAATCTAGCAAATGTAAACTCAAGAGGTAGAAACTGCAGAACAGAAGCTGAAAGAGCTTGGAAATAAATTCATAGCCACCATCTTCTTCAAAGGAGAGAAAAAAAATATTGTTTTAACCAGGTAAAAGAAAGTTGTTGTCATGGGATTTATATCTCACTAAAACCAAAACATATTCTCTTTTAAAAAATAAAGATTGTAACAGTGAAAGCTCTTGGAAACAGGATGAGAAGGAGGGTCATAGCAAGCAACTTTATGGCTTTTTGAGCAAGTTGGCATCTGTCCAAGGAAACTTCGTCATTGTAGTGAGACATAATACTCATTTTGTTAAAACAAGAAAGTTTATCCTTTTAACAAAATAAAACTCCTCTTATTATAAAGACAAACCTTGTTTGAGTTTCATTTCTTGTTATAACGAGGAATTTCGTTGTTACGATGACATATTGCTCCTGAATTTGTTTCCACTGCCTAGCAGTTGAACATTTTCTGTTCTGTATCTCTGAGAGTAACTGTTTCTTTATCCCAAAATACAAAACAAATCTCCTTTGCTGCTTCTACTATCTTAGTGACAAACCAAACATTTAATCAGTGTCACAGGTTATGATAAATCCACTCTAACATGACAGCAGTGACCATACAATTACTGTACAAAGTGATGCTTTACAAGAGCTTTCACAACCCACACACAGGTAAAATGCTGTGTTCAAGTGACCTTCACCAGAAAATCCACAACCCTGTTTCCTGCCTTGTTTGGTTTCTTTTCTTTTTCCCAGCCACAATTCAGGCAGAAGCTGCTCTGCTCACTCATCAGAAGCCACCAGTGGGGAATGCTCCCACTGGGCTGCTGGTGGGAGTGATGGCAGCTGGACGCCATCATCTCCCGTCATCTTCACTGACCCTTTGCTGATGTTCAAAAGGTCCCGAAGCTCCTTGTTCTCAATCTGAACAAGACCCAGAGAACAACAAATACAAGATGGATGGATGGATACAACTACAGGATTAGACTGACATCTTTTGAGTCGTATAAAAGCTGCACTAAAATACATTCAAATATAAAAAACCCTTAATGCTAATAATTTTGAGATTTAATTCATAGATGTGATATTTCTCAGGGTAAAGTGGTCTTCAGTAATGCGATATGATGGTTGGAAAGGTCACAATCACTGACACTTTCAGGACAAACTTTTTAAAAATGACAGCAGCAGTACACATAAGGCAACCAAATATTAGTGGTGCACCAATAACAGGTTTCTGGCAATATTTAAAGCTAAATGAAAACAAATAATTTGCTTCCGTTCTGAAGCGACTAAGTCCCAGCGCTGCTCACCTCTAGCTGAGCCAGCTGCTCCCGGACGGAGCAGTAGTGCTCATTGTCCACCTGCAAGGCTCTTCTCATTACCTGGCCCATCTCACAGATCTGCTCCACCTGGCTCTGCACTTCCTGTAGAAAAAACAGCCAACTATTGAACTTTACATAAAACAAGGAGCATCTCAGCCATGTAAAAATAACTCTCATCTAGGGACATAAACAAAACTTACTTTGGCGTGGTCCTGATGAAGGCTGAGCACCGGTTTGGTGTCCAGCTCCTTCTTTGCCATCATCAGCTGGAGCATCTGCTTACGGTACCGACCCATGATTAGCTCCAGGGTGTATTGGTGTTCTTCAAGAGACAGCCACAGTTCTGCAGAGGCCGTAAATTGTGTTAGCGCAACTTAAACCATCAACTGAAACAAATCGTCATGAGTGAGCATTACCTTTATTTTCCTGTTGCAGCTCCTTAATTTGAGTGTTCTCCTGAGTCAGAAGGACATGGGGCTTGTACTTCGTTAGCTCTTGAATCTCTGTATTGTCTCCAGTGTTCTGAGAGAGATGATGACGAGTGACAGAGAGAGGGGAAGAGCATTTGAAGGTTTAGAATTTAAAATGGTAGCTTCATGAATCACCTCTCTGGCAGTTTTGTTGTAATTTTTCCTTAAAAAGTCATGCACATTAACTAATACTGCTTGATGTTCTGGTTAAAAACTGCAAATTCCTACACGGTTTTCAAAGCTTTTTGAAAGTACAAATCTGAAAAGTGTGACATGCTTATTTATGTAGGCCTCACATCCTCGACTGGACTCTGGTTGGAAATTTGATTGCCACCAGTACATTAAATAAATATAATAAAGTTTTTTGGGTTGCCTTGTATTTAACTCAGTATATCTTCCCTGACCCCACAGAAAAAAGTTTGCACACATCATGATATGGCCACCACTGTGCGCATGGTCGGTTCAATAAAGCTGCACAAAACACTCTTATATAATTGTTCCACAAATTTCTACAATTTATTCTTTTCCTTTAACTTCACTGCTATGCATTATACTGAATTGGTCTGCCGCGTTTATACTGTCAGAGTGAAGCCGGATGGACGATCCTACCTTGTCTGGGAGAGCATTCCCCACCTCCTTCATGCTCTGCACCCTCTGTCCAAGGGCCCCGGTTTGGTCTATCAGTCCCTCGGCGGCCGTGTCATGCTCCTTCAGTCTGTCCAGAAGGGTCCGAGCATCACATAACACTTTCTCTAGAGTGCACGCCATTGACGGAAAACTGAGAAGTTGGGTCTGACGTAGGAGAGCGGCTTGAACCTTCGGGTGAAAGTACCGCTAAATGGAGACTTCTGAAGGCAAAAAGCCCGAGATTCTTTATAAGAACGTCGTCATAGCAATGCAGAACGTACTGTGAGACTGTGAAGGTGAACAGAAGAAAAACTGCACACAGACACGCAAAATAACAATTTTTGTTGTCAACTCCTTCGGTGGTGTAAGAGGAAATGCTACGTCACTTCCGTATCCCTTCGCCTTTTTTTGTGCTGCATTCAAGTACACACGAGAGCTCGGGAATCCCTCTTTTAGGTTATAAGTAGAAGTTTTACTCATTTATACACATTGTGCAGACCAAGCAGAATGGTGCTAACTACCTTTCAGCTCTGTTAGTTCGGGTGCGTCTTGAGTTAAGCTGCTCTTAAAAACCTGTTGATGTTATGGTGCAAATTCCGACTTACAGAAATGCAGCAGTAATCTTTACAATTTTCTTGTCAAGTGTCATATTTCATTTTGCTTGCCGCATTGATGCCATCCACTGGAATATTCGAAATTTGATTTTACCAATAATTAAATTAAAAATGATTTCCTATACAAAATTCCAATATTTTTTGTCATACTTTTAATTTTTCAATATTTATGAAATTAGCAATAAAGCTGCAATTGAATTCAAAATCTTATGAAAAATTATTTTTTAGATTTAATGTGGTTTTTTTGTGTATAATCCAAAAGGATGAAAGGGAAATGTAGCTGTCATACTGCAAAAATTATAATAAAACTACTGTTATAATTAGCATATAGCATATTATTTTTCACTTCTTTCACTGAGAAAAGGTGTTTTTGTTCCCTCACCCTTGGCACTCATAAAACATTAGATTTACACTTGTTTCCACTTTCAATCAACCAGAACTACTGCTTTCAAGCATTTCTGTGCTGTTCCAAAACTAATAAAGCTGAAAATTTAATGTAAAGCTGAGAAGCGTTGCCCTTCATGCAGAGCATGAAGGAGGTGGGGAATTCACACTGCTTCTCAGCATTTCTATGCTGTTTCAAAGATAATAAGGCAGAAAATTTCATGTAGTGCTGAAAATTCACAGTTTGTCCATTTTCCACTTCTTTCGCTGAAATAAAGCTCTTTTTTTTGTCTGACCCTCAGCTTTCATGAAAAACATTTATACTTGTTCCCAGATTCAGCTAACCAGAATTACAACTTCTCAGCATTTCTGGTATTTCAAAGATAATAACCCTGAAAACTGAATGTAATGCTGAAACTTAACAAATTGTCAATATTTCACTTCTTTCACTGAGCTAAAGCTTCTTTTTTTTTTTTTTTTTGACACCCAGTCTGAGAAATTCTGAAACACAAGATTTTGACATGGTTCCTATTTCAAACAACCAGAATGACTGCTTCTCAGCATTTCTATGTTGTTTAAAAGATAATAAGGCTGAAAATTGAATATAGTGCTGAATATTCAAATCTTCACTTCTTTTGCTGAAATACAGCCTTTTTTGACATCCTTTCACAGAACTTCTGAAACACATATGGGAGGATTTAACGTGGGACATAAGGGAGGATTTAAAATGGGACATATGGGAAGATTTAACATGGAGACATTCAGGGGAACTTTATATGGGACATGTGGGAGGTTTTAACATGGGACATAAGGGAGGATTTGACATCAAGGTGAAATTAATATGGGGCATATGTGAGAACTTAACATGGAACATATGGGTGGATTTAATATGAGGCATACAGGAAGATTTAATATGGGATATATGTGAGAACTTAACATGGGTCATATGGCTGGATTTAACATGGGATATATGGGAGGAAATAACATGGAGACAATCAGGAGAACGTATTGTGGGACATATGGGAGGATTTAACATGGGGCATATAGGAGGATTTACTAATATTTATTTTGAGGGATGTGATATTTATTTAAGGGGGGCACATCCTGTCACCGGAAATTAAAAGCAATTAATAATTAGGGTCATCAATTACTCCATCGATTATATTTTGACATAAGGCTGTATAGATATCTCTCTCATGAACAACGTCTGAATCCTGTTTTACAAAAAAAAAAATGAGTGTCAGAAACCAAAAATGCTTTATCTCAGTGAGGAAGTGAAAAATGTACAAATGTCAAATTCTCATCACGACAGTCAATTTTCAGCTTTATAATCTTTGTTCATGCTTCAAACGAGAAAATTACTGCTTTTTATGCTGTTTCAAAGTATAATTTCTGTGTTTTATTAAAAAAAAGTAACTGTCAGAGACTCAAAACGTTTTTATGAGAGAAGTGAAAAATGCACAAATGTGAATTTCTCACCACTACATTCTACTTCCAGCTTTATAATCTTTGAAACAGCTCAGAAATGCTGATACGCAGTAGTTATTGAGGTCTGAAGCAGGAACAAAGTCTCATTTCTGTGCTTTACAAAAAAGTGACTTTCAGGGACCAAAAACACTTTATCTCAGTGAGAGAAGTGAAAAATGCACAAATGTGAATGGATGGAACAATAGAAGGAGAAACAGGAACCAGATCAAGCACAATAAAGGTCTGGTTTGGTGGTACCACAGAACCAGCATCCAAAGATTATTTCACTTGCATGCACTTTGGATGCTCCTCAGCTATGGTCTCTGTTTGTTCATAGACCAGGTTCTCAGCTTTTTCACCAGCCCACTGCTCTTTGGGTGAAAATAACTTGCTGTTCCACAGAGGTGTGGGCTGCACTGGTACAGACATGCCTAGGAAAGACATAATTTTACAGAAAACAGAAATAAATATTTACAGACACATATCTTGCTCACTTTCTGTGGACTTGATATAACACTCTTCAGAAATACACACACTCTAATACACGTACATGCATTACCTACAGAGAGGAGAAATTCATAAGCCCTCTGCGTCTTCTCAAGAAAATGATTTGCAGTAGCAGTGGGCTCCAAATGAGTAATTACATCTGCTACCCGCTTTCTTGAAGACTTTTCTTCCTTAGCAAAAAATAAAATAGGCTTATAGCCTGAAGCATGGGTGTCCAAACTATGGCCCGCGAGCCAACTCCGGCCCGCAGCAAATTCTGAAAATATAATTGAATATGGCCTGCACAAAAAGCTTGAGCTCAACTCTGTTACACTTGTCAGTTTCAACTCTAGATGGAGCCAGCCACATAAACGAAATTAAGTGAAGGAAAACTTATATTGTGAGTCACCAGAAATGGCAACACCGAAGAAACGCAAAATAGCAACTGGAATTGTTCAAAACATTAAAATATACTGCTTCTCAGTAATTCTAAGCTGTTTCAAAGATTATAAAGCTGAACTTTCATGAATTTGCAGAAAATTACACAGTGGTGCATTTTTGACTTATTTCACTGAGAGAAAGCTTTTTCATCTTAGTCTTATTTTTGACTTCTTTCACTGAGATCAACACTGGAATTGTTCAAAACACTAAAATATGCTTCTCAGTACTCTAACCTGTTTCAAAAATTATAAAGCTGAACTTTCATGAATTTGCAGAAAATTACACAGTGGTGCATTTTGACTTATTTCACTGAGAGAAAGCTTTTTTCGTCTTAGTCTTATCTTTGACTTCTTTCACTGAGATCAACACTGGAATTGTTCAAAACACTAAAATATACTGCTTCTCAGTACTTCTAACCTGTTTCAAAAATTATAAAGCTGAACTTTCATTAATTTGCAGAAAATTACACAGTGGTGCATTTTGACTTATTTCACTGAGAGAAAGCTTTTTTCGTCTTAGTCTTATCTTTGACTTCTTTCACTGAGATCAACACTGGAATTGTTCAAAACACTAAAATATACTGCTTCTCAGTACTTCTAAGCTGTTTCAAAGATTATGAAGCTGAACTTACATGAATTTGCAGAAAATTACACAGTGGTGCATTTTTGACTTATTTCACTGAGAGAAAGCTTTTTTCGTTTAGTCTTATTTTTGACTTCTTTCACTGAGATCAACAATGGAATTGTTCAAAACACTAAAATATACTGCTTCTCAGTACTTCTAAGCTGTTTCAAAGATTATAAAGCTGAAACTTTCATAAATTTGCAGAAAATTACACAGTGGTGCATTTGACTTATTTCACGGAGAGAAAGGTTTTTTCGTCTTAGAATTATTTTGACTTCTTTCACTGAGATCAACACTGGAATTGTTCAAAACACTAAAATATACTGCTTCTCAGTACTTCTAAGCTGTTTCAAAGATTATGAAGCTGAACTTTCATGAATTTGCAGAAAATTAAACAGTGGTGCATTTTTGACTTATTTCACGGAGAGAAAGGTTTTTTTCGTCTTAGAATTATTTTTGACTTCTTTCACTGAGATCAACACTGGAATTGTTCAAAACACTAAAATTTACTGCTTCTCAGTACTTCTAAGCTGTTTCAAAGATTATGAAGCTGAACTTTCATGAATTTGCAGAAAATTAAACAGTGGTGCATTTTTGACTTATTTCACTGAGAGAAAGCTTTTTTCGTCTTAATCTTATTTTTGACTTCTTTCACTGAGATTAACACTGGAATTGTTCAAAACACTAAAATTTACTGCTTCTCAGTACTTCTAAGCTGTTTCAAAGATTATGAAGCTGAACTTTCATGAATTTGCAGAAAATTACACAGTGGTTCATTTTTGACTTATTTCACTGAGAGAATGCTTTTTTCGTCTTAGTCTTATTTTTGACTTATTTCACTGAGATCAACACTGGAAATGGTCAAAACACTAAAATTTACTGCTCCTCAGTACTTCTAAGCTGTTTCAAAGATTATGAAGCTGAACTTTCATGAATTTGCAGAAAATTACACAGTGGTGCATTTTTGACTTATTTCACTGAGAGAAAGCTTTTTTCGTCTTAGTCTTATTTTTGACTTCTTTCACTGAGATCAACACTGGAATTGTTCAAAACACTAAAATTTACTGCTTCTCAGTACTTCTAAGATGTTTCAAATATTATGAAGCTGAAACTTTCATGAATTTGCAGAAAATTACACAGTGGTGCATTTTTGACTTATTTCACTGAGAGAAAGCTTTTTTTTCATCTTAGTCTTATTTTTGACTTCTTTCACTGAGATCAACACTGGAATTGTTCAAAACACTAAAAATATACTGCTTCTCAGTACTTCTAACCTGTTTCAAAAATTATAAAGCTGAACTTTCATGAATTTGCAGAAAATTACACAGTGGTGCATTTTGACTTATTTCACTGAGAGAAAGCTTTTTTCGTCTTAGTCTTATCTTTGACTTCTTTCACTGAGATCAACACTGGAATTGTTCAAAACACTAAAATATACTGCTTCTCAGTACTTCTAACCTGTTTCAAAAATTATAAAGCTGAACTTTCATTAATTTGCAGAAAATTACACAGTGGTGCATTTTGACTTATTTCACTGAGAGAAATTTTTTTCGTCTTAGTCTTATCTTTGACTTCTTTCACTGAGATCAACACTAATTGTTCAAAACACTAAAATATACTGCTTCTCAGTACTTCTAAGCTGTTTCAAAGATTATGAAGCTGAACTTTCATGAATTGCAGAAAATTACACAGTGGTGCATTTTTGACTTATTTCACTGAGAGAAAGCTTTTTTCGTCTTAGTCTTATTTTTGACTTCTTTCACTGAGATCAACAATGGAATTGTTCAAAACACTAAAATATACTGCTTCTCAGTACTTCTAAGCTGTTTCAAAGATTATAAAGCTGAACTTTCATAAATTTGCAGAAAATTACACAGTGGTGCATTTTTGACTTATTTCACGGAGAGAAAGGTTTTTTCGTCTTAGAATTATTTTTGACTTCTTTCACTGAGATCAACTGGAATTGTTCAAAACACTAAAATATACTGCTTCTCAGTACTTCTAAGCTGTTTCAAAGATTATGAAGCTGAACTTTCATGAATTTGCAGAAAATTAAACATTGGTGCATTTTTGACTTATTTCACGGAGAGAAAGGTTTTTTGGTCTTAGAATTATTTTTGACTTCTTTCACTGAGATCAACACTGGAATTGTTCAAAACACTAAAATTTACTGCTTCTCAGTACTTCTAAGCTGTTTCAAAGATTATGAAGCTGAACTTTCATGAATTTGCAGAAAATTACACAGTGGTGCATTTTTGACTTATTTCACTGAGAGAAAGCTTTTTTCGTCTTAGTTTTTTTGACTTCTTTCACTGAGATTAACACTGGAATTGTTCAAAACACTAAAATTTACTGCTTCTCAGTACTTCTAAGCTGTTTCAAAGATTATGAAGCTGAACTTTCATGAATTTGCAGAAAATTACACAGTGGTTCATTTTTGACTTATTTCACTGAGAGAATGCTTTTTTCGTCTTAGTCTTATTTTTGACTTATTTCACTGAGATCAACACTGGAAATGGTCAAAACACTAAAATTTACTGCTCCTCAGTACTTCTAAGCTGTTTCAAAGATTATGAAGCTGAACTTTCATGAATTTGCAGAAAATTACACAGTGGTGCATTTTTGACTTATTTCACTGAGAGAAAGCTTTTTTCGTCTTAGTCTTATTTTTGACTTCTTTCACTGAGATCAACACTGGAATTGTTCAAAACACTAAAATTTACTGCTTCTCAGTACTTCTAGGATGTTTCAAATATTATGAAGCTGAACTTTCATGAATTTGCAGAAAATTACACAGTGGTGCATTTTTGACTTATTTCACTGAGAGAAAGCTTTTTTCGTCTTAGTCTTATTTTTGACTTCTTCACTGAGATCAACACTGGAATTGTTCAAAACACTAAAATTTACTGCTTCTCAGTACTTCTAAGCTGTTTCAAAGATTATTAAGCTGAACATTCATGAATTTGCAGAAAATTAGACAGTGGTGCATTTTTGACTTATTTCACTGAGAGAAAGCTTTTTTCTTAGTCTTATTTTTGACTTCTTTCACTGAGATCAACACTGGAATTGTTCAAAACACTAAAATTTACTGCTTCTCAGTACTTCTAAGATGTTTCAAATATTATGAAGCTGAACTTTCATGAATTTGCAGAAAATTACACAGTGGTGCATTTTTGACTTATTTCACTGAGAGAAAGCTTTTTTCATTAGTCTTATTTTTGACTTCTTTCACTGAGATCAACACTGGAATTGTTCAAAACACTAAAATATACTGCTTCTCAGTACTTCTAACCTGTTTCAAAAATTATAAAGCTGAACTTTCATGAATTTGCAGAAAATTACACAGTGGTGCATTTTGACTTATTTCACTGAGAGAAAGCTTTTTCGTCTTAGTCTTATCTTTGACTTCTTTCACTGAGATCAACACTGGAATTGTTCAAAACACTAAAATATACTGCTTCTCAGTACTTCTAACCTGTTTCAAAAATTATAAAGCTGAACTTTCATTAATTTGCAGAAAATTACACAGTGGTGCATTTTGACTTATTTCACTGAGAGAAAGTTTTTTCGTCTTAGTCTTATCTTTGACTTCTTTCACTGAGATCAACACTGGAATTGTTCAAAACACTAAAATATACTGCTTCTCAGTACTTCTAAGCTGTTTCAAAGATTATGAAGCTGAACTTTCATGAATTTGCAGAAAATTACACAGTGGTGCATTTTTGACTTATTTCACTGAGAGAAAGCTTTTTTCGTCTTAGTCTTTTTTGACTTCTTTCACTGAGATCAACAATGGAATTGTTCAAAACACTAAAATATACTGCTTCTCAGTACTTCTAAGCTGTTTCAAAGATTATAAAGCTGAACTTTCATAAATTTGCAGAAAATTACACAGTGGTGCATTTTTGACTTATTTCACGGAGAGAAAGGTTTTTTCGTCTTAGAATTATTTTTGACTTCTTTCACTGAGATCAACACTGGAATTGTTCAAAACACTAAAATATGCTGCTTCTCAGTACTTCTAAGCTGTTTCAAAGATTATGAAGCTGAACTTTCATGAATTTGCAGAAAATTAAACAGTGGTGCATTTTTGACTTATTTCACGGAGAGAAAGGTTTTTTGGTCTTAGAATTATTTTTGACTTCTTTCACTGAGATCAACACTGGAATTGTTCAAAACACTAAAATTTACTGCTTCTCAGTACTTCTAAGCTGTTTCAAAGATTATGAAGCTGAACTTTCATGAATTTGCAGAAAATTAAACAGTGGTGCATTTTTGACTTATTTCACTGAGAGAAAGCTTTTTTCGTCTTAGTCTTATTTTTGACTTCTTTCACTGAGATTAACACTGGAATTGTTCAAAACACTAAAATTTACTGCTTCTCAGTAC